TGCTGCTGTTGTTTAGCGCGACATCTGCTGGTTTCCTCTTTCTGGCGCAAAGTGGGCGATAAACAAACAAGAGAGAAAAGCCGATCAGCTGATCATTGATCAGTTTCATGATTGAAGTAGAAACAGGAGAGGTAGGGGGAGAGAATGAGAGAAGAAGAGACAGCTGTGCAGCGCAAAGACATAATAACTCCACCTTTGTGTCTTTTTCATTATAGCTGAAGTACGGGACAAACTGTGCTCCCTTTCACCTCAATGAAAGGGAGCACTTGGGTTTTGTTTTTGTTTTTTTACTATATCACCCCCTACTGAATAGGAGTTACTGCGTTACCAAGAAAATAAGCAGATTAAGCCTGCACCTCTAAAACTATACTGCCTTATGCTTTACCTGGTATGTACTAAAATAACAGCTTGTTTAATGTACTTCTTTTGTTCAGTCACTATTCTGCTTCCACGAAGAAGCAAAAAGTATTGTGAGGTCACCTGAAAATGGCAGATAAGGCTAGAAAACTCTTTCAATTGAAAAACTGTCTGGCCATCCTTGAACACAGAACTTCTTTAGCTGGCTAAGAATGCTGTCATTGCCCTGATGCATCTGGATTTCTCTAAGTCATGGTTCTGTGGCTGGCAGGCGTGCTATGACCGACTCCACATACAAGATCATTTTTTCCTCTGGTAAACCCTCTGTTGTGTCATATACAGGAGCTCTGGACAGTACAGTACATCTCCTGTTGCAATGTCTCTACCAGCAATGTGTGATATGGTAGAAGAGAACCTCTTTAATCGCATGTTGTATGCGAAGTGGAAGCTCATCCAGGCCCTTGGAGCCAAGCAAGGAGACTATAAGTTTGTGGTCTGTTTCAGTGTGGAATGCGTTCCAAATTAGGAACTCAGCAAACCTCTGACAGGCCCATGTTGAAGTAAGTGCCTCTTTTTTGATCTGAGCATATTGCTGCTCTGTCATGCTGAGACTGCTTGAAGTGTGTGCTACCAGTTTCCACCCTAAATCATTTTGCTGGTGGTAAAGCGCCACTCCTATTCCATACAAGGGAGAATCAGCTGATATGCACATTTCAGCATTTGGGTCATACAGAGCAAGCCCTGGGGGTGTTGTCAGTTCTTTTTTGATGCCATCAAAAGCCTACTGCTGATGTGGCCCCATGACCATAGGTTAGACTTCAGCAGATCTCTTAAAGGGTCTGTTATTTCCACCAGGTGAAGAAGAAATTTCCCTAGGTGATTTACCATGCCCAGCAAGCGTCTCACCTCAGTTATGTTGCTGGGCTCCTCCATGGAACTCACAGAACACATGCTGTCAGGATCTGCGCTAACCCCCGATGCCTCATGATATTTATAATTTTAATAAATGACATATTAAAAAGACATGAAAATTTTTTTGTATCAAAAAAATATCGAACTGTGACACCAAAGTATCGAACCGAACCGAACTGTGAATTTTGTGTATCGTTGCACCCCTACTACTCACCCGTCTTTACCACTTTTTCACGCTCGGAAGCTCAATCTCAATACTGAAATCATTACTCTAGCCCGATAATCTTCTCACTCCCCTTCTCTGAGCCAATCAGCCTCCGTTTCGCATGGTTTCAGTTGTTGCTGTCAGTCATTCTCCTTTTCAGAATCCCTTTCCATTTAAAAACCTCCTTCCCAGCTCCACCTCAGACACCCCAACTAAAGCTCCATCCAGCCTCAGTCATCTTCACCACCACCAGTGTCTGGAGGGTCCTGTCCTAAATTCTATTGCTGCATGGATTCTGTTCTTCCATGATGGGTCATCAGAGTCTAATTGCCAAGTACATTAGTTGCTCTTTCACAGTAAATCATGTTTAATTCCTCCAAGTGATTTTTCCTTCTTGAAATGACACATCATCAGATGAATGAGAGGTGAAGAGCCTGTGTATTCATTTAACTACAGCTGCATGGGGCAGGAGACCAGTTGACTAAGATCTGATTTGGACTGATGGCTGTACTGTTTTAAGGCGCCAGATCTGTATCCACATGGTTTGAATTGCAATCTCAAGCTGTGGGGTCATGATGCTAATTCAGAATCACAGAGACTTAATTCCAGAGGGAAATTGAGTGGATGTCTATGAGGGCCCTAAATGCAGCTCCCGTACCAATGAGTCCTTTGAGCCCCAAAAGTGATGGAACCAGTCATCGGAACTGGATTTTCTACAGTAATAACAATTTTAAATTTTAGTTTTTAAGATTTTTATTTTTATTTTTATTTTATCTTTTGTTTTGTTTTTTGTTTTTTTCTGGTAGTAATATTATATATTTTTGTGATACTTTGGATTAAAGCTAGATTTACAAATTAAATTACAGATTTAAATTACAGTGATGAATGAATCTAGTAATTTTTTAAATTTTTATTTTATTGACAAGGCAGACAAAATTTTATGTGTTTTGAAGATGTTTATTCTGTTTGCATGTAAGAACTTTTTGAATTTTGCATTTTTGTAACACAACATATTTGAATGCTTTTCAGTGCTAACATAAAAGAAAAGAACCTATATTATAATGTTAGTAGTTTTTTATGAAGGTAGAAGTCTGCATCCATATATACTGCACTCGCTGATATTTAGATTAACATTTTTTATTTTCCTACAGTTGAACTGTTTTAACCATCACACCATACAAGCTCATACAAAAAGTTTGCCTCTAAACAAAAATTAACCA